GCACTTGGTAAATACACCTTGGCTTGCAATTCTGATGATTACAGTTTGCTGAGGCAATTGAAATGTCAGTCCCCAATCAGGAATCACCCACATGACCTGACATAAGCTATGAGATAACAAAATGCATGTCAGTGGAACTATTGTAAGTGCAGTACCACCCAGTGATAAAAATTAATAATTTCCTGTAAGAATGAATGTTTGGGAGAAGTTATAGTAGTAACTGACCCTTTTTTGTTAAAATGCATAGGATTTGATGATTGTAATGTACAGTATATCTCTTAGCTTTTAAACTTTCAACTTTATATCAATTATAACTGTTTACCATGTTTATTTCTTTCTACCTCAAGCCCTCAAAAGTTGAAGCAGGTTATCAGACTTTCTTTGTTTGGAATTGTGTGATTATATAATTTTGCTGAGTAAGTTGCCACATTGTAACATGTAATATTATATTTGAATTGCATTAAATACTCTTGCTCAAGCTTTCATTACCGCATGGTGTTTCTTACCAATACTCATACCCAAACTTAAGATTGATATAAGGAATTGGTCACAAGATATATGATTTTTAAAGGGTGAAAAACTGGAAAAGCAAAGATTCCCCTTTAATTAGGACTGAAATTAAAATGGGCTCTGCTATTTTAATTCATGTTTTAACTTTGACCTTCAGGAAAGTTAAATTAATTGGCATCTGCACGATGCACGAAGCAAGAATATAAATGACTTAGCTTAATAAGTTATAAAATTGAAATTAGAAAGTTGTGCAGACCATATCTTGCCTTTTATCCTTCTCTGGATATTAACTCAAATAACAGTCACTATCAGTCTCTCACTCTCACTTTCCACTGAGCTTGTGGAAAGATGATAACCTCAGTATTTTTTTAAACGAAGAAAGGAAAGCCTGCCCTATTACCACAGATAGTTCTTTTGTGCATCATTGGTACATACCTAGTCTTATATGTACATAAGTTGATTGTTCTAGGTAGGATAACCTATCAAATTAGTTGTGAAAATTTCTTTGTTTGACTCAATTTTACCTGACAAACCTAAACTGTATGAATAGAAACTTGAGATTTATTTCTTCTCCTTTTGAGGTGTATATCAAAATTTTGAAGTCATGGCAGGCTTGAACTACAGGTTTATAAGAAATCTGCATGTGTGTGTGTGCTTTCAACATATAAAACCAGTAAAAAAGGTTCCTTAGCTTTTTTCATGAATACACATTTCTTTTTCTAAGAATCTTGTTTATTTGGCCTATGCTGAGTTCTAATTTTTCAAAAAAGTTTTACATTCTTTTGAATATTCTTAGATCCTATTCCTAGTATCAGTTAATATTCATTTAATTAAAATAATTACATCAAATCTTGCAGATGTTTGGTACATTTTTCCACTGATCCTACTGACATTTCATCATGCGCAGGGGCTGATATTGACTATAAAAGTATTGTTAAATTAAATATTTGTGCACAGCCTATGCATCAAATATTTGTTATAAAATATTGTATCTTTCTTAAAACCAGTTTATCAGAATAAGAATGAGGTTTACCAGGCACAAGTATGGCTTTCACAATGATAGTTTCCAAGTTTGAAAAAAGGCACTGCCTACTAAAATCCTTTGTTCCTTTACCTTGACAGCCCAACCTCATCAAAACATTGGCAACAAGATCGATTAGCAAATTAACAATACAGACAAGAGAGCCTATTCCCACATAAACTCCTCAATCCTGTTTGCTTACTATGGACACAACATTTCAAACATGATGTATGTTTCCCTGACTAATTATTTTATAATAGTGTTTAAAAATTATGGAAAATAGTTGGGTTGAAATAGTAGATAGTTAAATGAATACTTTTTACATATGAATAAAATTCATTGTTGTGTTTCATGTTAACATGTTGCAATAACTCTACCATCCATTAAATTTAACTATTTGCAAACATGAGAAAATACCATCAAAAACTTTTCAACCCATTTCATGTAGCCAATAACAACATCAACTCAAATTTAAAACTTAAGAGAAAACTTGATTGATGTTTGGAATTGATTGCTGTGATGTAAAAATGAAATCCAGGTACTATCTCAAGTTTTCCACAAATGTCCTCATGATCGAATCGTGAGTCTCTCTTCGTCATCGAGTTTTAATCACGACATTTTAGCTCTAGCTTGTCTTCTTTTAAAGCAAACTTTTGCAGTGCAAGAAGCATGTCAGACAAATTTCGTACTTCATTAGCTACAGTTGCTAAGATCATGGGCAGTTGGCTTAAAGAGACCTACATTGTAAATAGTTTAACATCAGAGGTTACCGAATCAAATAACAGAAAGAATCTCTCAAAGACGCCGTATATTTCCAACCAGAAGGCAATCGTACAAGCAGTCATACCTGGAAACATCAAGAGAAGATATAAGAGAAGCCCATACGATTCTGGCGTCTTGATTTACAAATTCACTGTTATCACGTGTATACTCTTCAATCGACTGGTTATGTCTAGACTCGAAGTAGTTTACCGTCGTTTCTTTCAGTTTTGGCTCATTTTTCCAAACTAAAATTATCAGTCACGCTCAAAAGAATGTAATTTCAACTGATGCTGACATCGCACACTTCCTCTAAAGAAGAAATGATTCTGTATCTTCGAAAATTTGCTCATCAGATCAGGAACAACAACGAAGGTCCTCAGCTGCTTGAAGATACCGCTGACTAGCATGCGTTTTATCGCAAGTGGTGAGAACGTCGTTCCCAGGTTCCAGACCTCGCAAATTCTCCCCTTCCCTCCCCACCCCCGGACTGGTTTCTTAATCCCCTTGAAGAAAGTCTTCTACAGCCAGTGCTGAGGAGTTTTATTACAGTTTTTATTTTAAAGAGGGGCTAGAAAATAAACTAACAAGAGCTCCGCTTTTAGGCTTGGGTAAATCTATATATTAATTGATACTTTCTGAAATGACTACCAGCAAATCCTTTCAACTCCTGACCAGCGCTCGATCTATTTCTTAAACCACGACTTTTTTAGATAGCTCAAGGAGCCCAAAAAGCTATTTCATTTAAGCCCAAAGTTCCAACTGGATTGTTTTATATAGCCTGTTTCGTCATATGTTAGCTTGTTCGACTTCTGCACAAAACGAGGGAACTCACGACTGAACAACAAATGAAATTCTCACCAAACTGCACTTTGTTCGTTTGCAACAAGTGGGACACCATACCAACCTCAGAGGGAGATGTGGTCATAGTGCACACAATCAACAAGTTGATTCAGTGTTTGCCAAATGTCGACATAAGTACTCAAATTATCCGCCTTTCAACTACTAAAGCTCTAGGGGCCCAGAAGTTTGGAGTCATGAATTCAGAATTTGCCCCACTTACAGATAAGATTGGCTGTTTGGTTTCGAAAAGCATCGAAACAAGACTTGAACAAAATTGGAGGTAGTTTAGATCATTTCTAAATGTATGTTAACTGATCATGAAGCTACTATTTATTAGGCAAAAAGCACCTCTTTCAGTAATGGCCTGTCATCAAGATTTCTCTCTTTCCAACAAAATTCCGGCACTGCTATAGACGAAAGTAGTTGTATAAATTTACACTTTTTCCTGATTGCTTAAACACTCTCCTCGATGGAGGTCTAAGGCGAAAGAAGCCATATCCGAAGTGGAGTAATTGAAGGATAGATGGAGACCTCCTCCTCTGAATTTCCATCAAACAAAGTGTAAATGATAGAATCTTGCAATATTCCTTTGATGACGTTATGTCTCTCTACTAGAGCAGCTATTCACCATCCATCTCTGACAAATATATAAGGAATAGGTGCATGGACGGCTACCTTAGAGCCCTTTCAAATTTTCCTCGGAGAAATCGGGAAAAAATGTGTGCCCATGGTATAGAATTAATAAACATCGATCTTCCCTGTGCGTTCAACTGGTAACTTTATTTGATTCTTCCTTAATCTGTTCAGCTGGCTAGATCTTTTGCTGTCCCGAATAACCTGGCTGATGAGTACATTAATAAGTCATATCTCCACTGACCATGTGGCTGCAACCGATAGATTAAATACTGTGATAGGAAGATTGAGGAAACTTCAAGCGGAACAGGAGCCACCGAAAGAGACAATAACAATGTCTTCAAAGCAGGACTCGTCAGGCCATCCACACCTTAATCGACCACCTACAGACTCCCCAAGTGAAAAAGAGATTTTGCAAGTGAAACTCTTACGAACCTTCGGCTGTCAAGAAGTCATGGGAAGTTACCAAGGCTGCCCTTTTTAAGCTTCTTCAAGGAAGACTACAGCTATTGATTGAAGAATGGGAGGAGAATCAGTAAAGGTTTGCGGAGGCACGGAAATCAGTGATCAAAGAGTTCCTCGAAAAATACAATTATCTGGAGAGAGAGAGCTTCGCGACGTCGGAGTCAATGTTTCACAACTACAAGTACATGTTGATGAAGAAACGGCGGGCGAAAGTGTAGAGGACCAAGTTTCAACAGCAATTTCAACTTTTCGTATCCACTTAAGAGGAAACTTTATCACGGAATAACAATTCCTTCATGGTTCCAGCTCTTCTTGTCGGAGCTGCGTTTGCTGTTCCAGTACGTACTGCTTTAGATTTGCACGGGGTGGCAAATTTGGTGCAAATGTGGCATTTACCCCATTTGAACCGCATTTGCTACAGCTTTGGACCAGATTTGCTGACATGTGCATTGCGTAGATATGGTGTAAATCCGTTTTTTCGTCCAGTAAGTAACACTGCTTTTTCTTCCATTTGCAGGAGTTAAATCTATTGCCGACAACATAAAAGAAGGAAAAAAGACGAGTGCATACAATAAAGATTGCGCTGAGTACGTACGAATCATGGCACAAAAGTTTCTAGCGAAAGCTGCAACCTTCGAGGCGCTAAAGCCACTGGTCGAAGCGCAATTGAAGCTAGCAATAAACACCCTGAATGACCTGCAAGCGAGAATCCCCATGCTTGTTGAAGCTCGCTACAAGCCCTATAGAGACAAATGCGAGTGTTTGCGCAGTGAGCTCGCGTCGTTTGGCTCTATGGAAATCCGCCGATGCACGCGGCTCTCCTAGGAAGACCTTTCTCGGGATGTCAGCGAGGATGTCTACTTGAAGCGACCAATGGAACCTGGGCTCTACCAAGGACACATTTCCTATGAAGGTACTCATCAAGTGGCCAAGTAACTTTTACAGTGTGTTTAAAGTGTACAGAGAACTGCTGACCAGGAGCAATATTATTGAGTGCTTTGCAAACGAAGCAATCTTGAGGTACAACATAACTAATAAACAAACAGTTTTTTTTATCAAACACTTAACCAACAAAATAAACTTGTTTTTTCAGGATTAAGAACACCCGTTATGCTAGTAACACTTTGTTATTCTTCCCAAAATATCCAAGTCACTTTAGTAAGTGTCTTGAGCTACTTTTCCTAAAACATGACACTGGTATTGGCATTCCTCGTTTAACGTACAGTTCTGTTCGATTCGTTCTGGAATTAATTTCTACAGGTTCAGTGCTTTACCAACCGAGTTTACAAGCCAACTGAAAGCTGGTCATTGTGTTGATTCGTAAATAACTGCCACTGCATAGGTCATAGATTCAAATCCCGTACAGGCCTAAATTTTTTCAAGCCTTATTTTCGCCACTGCTTGAGTACTTTTTATTACCGCAAACATCGCTTTCAGATTATTTCCTAGACCTATTTCTTTTTTTGTCGTACACTCCACAGGAGGCTTTGCCATCCTCATATTGTCACCTTTTACAGTGCTGTTTTCAGAAAGGTTCCAAGAGGGTTAAAAGCAGCCTTTGTAACTGAGTGTCCAGGAGTTGATTTAAAGAAATATCTGATCGATCAGCCCGGAAATTGTCCTGCAAAGAATTCCGCGTTTTCGGAGAATGCGATTCGCTGGGCAGACCAAAACAGCTTTTGATACCTTTGATCAGCCAGTCTTAATTTAGCGAATACGAATTTCAATAAAACTTCAGGAACTTTCGATCTTATACGTGAGATGCTAATTAACTGCGTGTTTTTAAACTTTTTCCTGTAATCACCTTGTGGTGAAGGGGTGGTACATGCCTTTATTTTCTTTATTTCGCTGAAGGACGATTTTCTGTTTTAATAAAGCACACAAGTATCCAAAGGAACTTAATTGTAACCAACATTAGGAGGGTTATAGACTCTTAGGACATATCACATTTCATTTCATTTCTATACGAGGTAGTTTATCTTTTTATCACTACATTTAGGCCTTATCATCTGCTCTCAGTAATTACTTTAGTTTAATGAAAATTTACAATGTGCGAGTTCGAAAAATTTAGTTTTAAATCATCTATAATGATCATGCAGTGAAAATTAGCGACACCAATTGCAATTTGTATCTTTGCTTATCACACTTTGTAGTTCTCGCTTTGAGAATAGATGATATAAAGTGAACTCTTGAGCTCTAATGTGTAGACCACAAACATATTTCTTATGTAACACGGAACAGTTATAAGAAATTTTGAACGCGTCTGATTTCCAGATGCTAAATTAAATTTATTTGGTAAATTAGTGTACGAAACGATACAACGCTGTAGAAAAAAGCCAAAATACGGAGAGAGATGGAAGAAAGAAGTAGACTCACTTGTAACTTTAAAGATTCTAGAGGCTAACTTAGATAAGGCTAAAGAAAAACGGTAGACTATCAAGAGACATAGAACAACAATAAACTAGCGAACTCTTAGCGTAAAATGAATAGACGTGATAATTATCGTGTCATATAAATTATTATCAAACGAAGGTACAAACAGCAGTATCGTACTAAACAAAAAAGGTAGCTAAATGAGCATAAAAGGATAATAATTTGAAAAGAAATAAGGAAAATTTGTAAATAAGATCGTTGAGTCAACACTTAGTCGACTAAATGAGACGTTCTATGACCGAAAAAAGGTTGATGATTCTGTGACTTATTTAACAACAACAGAATTAAGTACTTTGGTTGACGGCTCGTACCCAGAAAAAATAGCAAGACACTTGAGATAGGGGTAGCTTGGATCCTTCTGATCGTGGCAAAGGTAGCAGTGTGGCCTCACCTAACTTCCTCTTTTTTTACTTACGGTATGCGTCGCACTTTTATAGGCTATGATACGTGAAGAAAGCTAAGGCGTTGCTTAAAGTAGAGCCTACAATAAGAACTATTTCCTGGGTAGCAAAGATTCCAAAGTTATGATACAATTCCAGGATATCTCGATTTCTGCCGAAACTTTCATTTAAGATCACTTAGTCTCCTACTTATAACTAATATAAATCGAAGGAAAGTTTGTAGGAAATTAGTGTTAGGGGTGTTTAAAAGCTAACATTACTGAATGGTCCAAACTAAACATTGTTCACTGTCTGAGGCTTAACTTTTTCAGCGATGAACTTTAAAATGAAACCTATTCTTGAAGATTGTCATAAAGGACATGGTTGTTTTATTATTATTATTATTATTATTATTTTTTTTTTTTGCGTTTTCTTTGCAAACTCAAAGTCTTTTTGTCTGTTTTTCCTATTTGGATAAATACCTCAGCTGTATTCTACTGGTTAGCACACCCTTGACCGCAGTCACCTGATTATGCCTGATATATCATTTTATGTAATTAATTTATCGTATCCTAATAAAGCAGTTGTGTAGAGCA